TTTGGGTGGCGGGAATGACGACGTTGTGGCCTGTGCCGCTGCAGAGGGTTACGGGGAGGAGCTCGTTGACGGATTTGGCGTGGATGTATTGCGAGACCATTTCGAATTGGGGGTATGCGCGTCCCATCATGTCGCCGTCCACGGTCGGGATGTCGTAGTAGCGCGAGCTTCCCCAGATGAGCGTAGCGACGCCGTTGGCACCGCCAATTTCCGTGGCGATGAGTCTCTCGAATTTGGTCTTCATCTCCTTCTCCATCTCTTGCATCGCATGCCACACGCCGTCACCGCCAGGTCGCTCGATACTCACCGCCGGTGTGCCCACGCTGGCAACTGGTGGCATCATCTCGTCGTCCTTGAGGTCTTCGATCCGGATAATCTTCATCGACTCGCCTTCAGCCAATAACTGCTTTAATTGCAAGTATGGCGCGTAGGGAGAACCGCCGCCGCCGCAGCCCAGGATGTAACAACCGATGGACAAGAACCTGAGATCAGTCTCAGAGAGCGTCCACAAGCCATTGGATTCGACCTTGGGCTTATAGCCCTTAAGATCGACTACCACGTCTTCGGGGTGATCCTCCGCGTCCTCAGCCTCATGGTTTTTTGTCTCCTCAAACATCTCCTCGTCAACCAGCTGGTCAGGCGCAGCCGTCTTCACCATCTCCGAGTACACGCGCTTATGGTCCGCCGGCAGCGCAACCTCAATCTTGATGGAGGTTTGGTTCTCCACATAGGGTACACCCGCAATTTCCTCGTGGAGGATAGTCACGGAGCTCTCGTCACCGCCCTTGGCGACGGCGTTCTGGATAGCCCGGGCCTTGACCTCTGCGATGCCGCCCTGGATGTCAGAGCCGTAGACGATCGTCTCAGCGGAGCCGTAAATCTTGGCAATGGACGCGCCGATCGCGTTGGCGACACCGGCGTGCTCGGGGACCACAACTTTGCTGACGCCCGTAAGTTCCGAGGGGCAGAGAATGGAGCCACCGCCGACGAGGATGACTGTGCATGGTTCGGGCGACAACTTGGCGCGGTCGATGACGGCCTCGAGCATCTTACGGATACGCGCCTTGCCCTTCTCGATAACGTCGCTTGTCAGAGAAACGGCCGTGGTGCCAATCTCGGCACCCGACGCGACTGCAACGTCCGTGGCAGTTGTGACATCGCCTCCGAAGCACAAGGCCTTAGTGATGAGGTCGTGGCCTACACTATCGGGTCCAACGGCTACGGAACCGTCGTCTGCGCTGTGGAGAATAGAGCCCCCACCCAGGCCGATGCTCTCGACGGAAGGCATTTCCAGGTTCACCTTGACGCCGGCCAACGCCGTGTAGCTCTTGGATAATCTGGGGTATCCGTTGCTCAGCAGGTAGCCCACGTCGGACGTGGTACCGCCGATATCCACAACGATGCTGCCCGACTTGTCTATCGAGTCCCTGGCGAGGAACGCAGCACCTCGAATAGAATTCGTCGCGCCCGACGAGAAAATTCTGATGGGAGCCTGCATGGCTTCCGAGAAGGGCAGAAGGTGGCCGGCGTTGGAGGTTAAGTACAGCGGGCACTGGAGACCGATGCGGCGCATGGCGCCGATGAAGGCTCGGATTGTGCGCTGCGCAAAGTTGAGAATCGAGGCGTTGAGAATCGTCGCATTTTCGCGGGCGAGCAGTCCCGGTCCGGCAATGTTGTGGGAGAGAATGATGTTGACATCTTCGCCCAGCTCACTGGCAAGGATCTTACGGACTTCATCTTCCTGGTGGTAGTCCTTGTCGGTACTACACCCGATGCCGATGACTGCGACGTTCTTGAGGCCCTTGGCCTTGATCTGCCTCGCCTGCTCGCGTATAGACGCCTCGTCGATGGGGCCGATGAGGGTGCCATCGATGTTACAGCCACCCGGGATGATGGCTGAGTGGCCGTTGATGATGCGCTTCAGTGCCGAAGGCCAGTCCGCAAAAGGTGGGGTGCCTGTTGAAAAGTTGTGAGATGCCAAGCGGAGAACGGCAATCTTTTCCACGCGGGACGTGTCTCTTTCAATAATGGCATTGAGGAAGTGCGTTGTGCCGATGGCGAGCGCAGTGATGTTGGCGGGGTCTGCGGTTGACTTGTCCAGCAAAGCTTTCAAGGTGGCCTGGACGGAGTGAGTGACGTTTGACGTTGTTGGGGCTTTGTGAGATGCGACGACAGCATCTGTGCTGGACTTGGAGACGTCTAAGAGCACACTGTCGGTATTGGTACCTGCGAGGATAGTCAGTCGTAAGAAGTGGACGATTGTGCCTGGCTTGTAATCCAAGCCGGAATTTGTTCAAAATCTCTTACCTCCAACGTCGACTCCCACGACCAATGTGCCGTCTGATGCACTCATCTTGCTTGACCAATGTTGTTGACTGCGGGGTGTGAGGGGAATTGTGGGAGCAGCTCGCGCAATTAGCAACACCGACCACACTCTAGTTCCAAAGAGCGCGAAAGTCGATCTCAGTAAAGCAATCTTTGGCCAGCAGGGCTGTTTGTCAGTCCTTGGTCGTTGATAATAGGTGGTGATCGCGGGGTGATGACCTCCGAGTCCTTTTGCTGTGGAATGATGTAAAGAATCAGCCGCGCGTGTGCCGTGTAGTGGGGGATCAAGTATGAACCGAGTCAACGTCCGTTCTTCGGCGGCTTTCTTCAACTCTTTGTCGCACCAATACTGGAGCGATCCTCTCGCTTATTATGCAAGTGTAACCACTTTTGTAGGTGCATTCGTATGGGGAAGGTCAGTCGGGATGTGGACGATCGGAGCCTCGGATTTATCAGATTGATCTTATCTGCGCAGGGTACGTATTCGTAGGGCTATCTTGGCTATCAACCATCAAACCAATCACATAAACTCGCGGCTACCCACATCGTGACGCACCATCAAGATGCCCTCATGGACACTGGTTACATAAACTCAACTGCAAGACTGTAAGTGTTGAATCGTGAGCATTTAGGTATTGTAATCATAATTAGCTCAACCGTTTCTAAAAACTCCGATGAAGGTTAGCTAGGAACGAAACCATTTTTATTACTCCATCTAGATAATTGCGTCAATCCTTCCCGCATCCGGATTTTTGGCAAAGGCCAATGCGGGCTGTGTCAACTGATTCCAATTAACTAAGTCCGGAGGGCTTCAGGTTTAACTTATAGACAAACATCAATACTACAAAGGAAATGCGCGGCAATCTCCGTCATCAGAAAGACGGAAGGTCATGAACTTGGGACAGTGTATGTATATATACCTTAGGTATACTAGATAAAAGTCTTCATATTCGGATGCATAACCATCGAAGAAGTAACGCTGTCTCCTTTATGCAGTCCATACTTAGCCATACTCCACAGTCGAACAACTCTCTTGGGCAGAGAATAATGAGAGCAGAAATTTTAGACACGAAGCTCTACATCTCCAGCGGTGCCTCCGTGTGGTTTTGACGGAAGTTGTAGCATCGCGGCTCCTAAATGGTAATCCCATCCTCTGATGGCCTCTCCATCGCCAACTTGAGCCTTAGCAATGACGTCCATATCCATCAAGAGTACAGCAGTCGGCATGACAAGGTCCTCCATGCATGACGTTCAGACAGTAAAAGGCATCGCCGTTCTACTCAAGTAGTTTTAGTTACGAGATTCAAAGAAGCGCATGACCCATGAGGGAAATAAGCATGGAACATACGTGTTTGTCGCGAGCTACGTTATCCTTGAAACAACAATCGTCTTTGCTGCAGAAGGCATTCTGTACCAGAAGTCAGTTTTTCGGAAGTCCATGTGCTGTGCTCGAGGCCACGTTGATCATCATACCGCAGAGCCAAGCAGCGTGGCTGTGAGAAAGAGAACAATGGCCTTAACCTGCATTTTCTGCTTGTAAAGATAGTGTTGGTAATTTGCTGATTAGATAGACTTATGCGGTTGCTTGTTGAATTGGTCCCTGTGCCTCTTTTCGTACGGTGTTACGGGCGTTCTGCTTTTATAGCCCAAAGGGCATTCACAAATTCAAGTCGCAATAGCCGGCAACTCAATAGCCGCCCCTTTCAACAGTAACCGGCTTGAGAAAGCGTGCTTGATGGAAAGTTGGACTATTACGCTTTCTCGCCTGGTTCTTGCCCTTGTTATTTAATAGTAAAAGTGCGAAGGTAAAGTTTTCACTCTCGTTTAAAACTCTCCTTTTGTTGACTGGGTCCTACGAGGGTTCAGCTCACCGCACATTTCGGTCAAAGTGGCTCTGTTGATGATGCCTTTTTGTAGGATAGCCTCGAAATACAACTCAACTATCAGATAGGTCAGACCTATGCAAGTAATCCATGGCCAACTTGTTGTGCCATAATCTACAGTGAGCTTGATCAATGTTACTGCTTCTTGTTCCCACTGCTGCGTTTCGACAGTGATGCTAAGGTATTTCGAATTAATTTCGCCAGACCATTGAATTCCGCGACCTCGTCAGATTCATTCAACAAGAACAACCGCCATAATCTTCTGCTAGAAAGTGAGAAGTATCGGTTCTTCGTGAAACGGTAAGAAGCGGAGGGGATCATACTGTGTAGTTCGCTAAGTAACTTGCAGCCATGCAAATATATTCACAGCACCTGTGGAGAAACTATCGGGGCCGCCTCCAGCGGGTGGACCCCCGTGCCGCTTGACTCAGGGGCAGGACTGAAGTAAGGTAGCGATAGGGTCGTGACGCTCGACGATGAAGAACCCCCTTTTTTGATCGATATTACAGATATAAGGAGAATCTCAAGAAGAAGAATATGGACTGAAACGGAGGTATAATGTAGTACTGGCGCCACGGTATGTATAAGATGCTAAGGAGATATTGCCGCTGATGCGAGGGTCTACACCCACGTATTTGATCCTGCATCCTGCAGTGTGGACTGGAGCTTCTTAAACGTGCCCAATGCTCTGAACTAGGGACACGACCCGCTGACAGCTTGCATCCTGATTTTCGGTCAACCTAAACGTTAGGCAACAAGGACGAGCAAGTCGCCGCGCATCATCCAGCAAAGATGTCTATCATTAGTGAAAGCAATTTGGGAGTTGATTATCTCACGTTAAGCTCAACTGCTGGCTCTGTCAGAGGATTTATCAACAAAGACTACCCAAACGTCGCCCAGTTCCTCGGCATTCCCTTCGCCGAACCGCCGATAGAGCCGCGCCGGTGGTTACCTCCAACGCCGAAGCAAGCGGTCGACAGCATTGATGCTACGAAGTTTGGATTCTCGTGCCCGCAACAGCTTGGAGGCAGGCCTTCGGTCTATAATACGGATGTGACTGAACATCAGATTCGAGACGAGACTTCTGAGGATTGTCTCTCTCTTTGCATCTGGGCACCCAATGATGCGGCCAAGGAGGGGTCCACGAAGAAGCTCCCTGTGATAGTTTTCATCACGGGCGGCGCGTTTCTCGTCGGCGGCTCTACTATTCCTTATCAGAATCCAACACCCTGGGTCGAGAGCAGCAAACGGCACATCGTTGTAAGCCTCAAGTTAGTACTCTGAAGCCTTGAACGATCAACAGCTTCATCTCGGGACATAGGCGCTTACACGAGTCCAGTTATCGCCTAAACGTTTTCGGTTTCCCAAATGCCGCAGGACTGAACCCCCAGGAACGCAATCTAGGTTTCCTAGATCAGCGTCTCGGCCTAGAATGGGTACACCAACACATAGCCTCCTTCGGCGGCGACCCATCGCGGATGACACACTTTGGGCAATCAGCAGGCGCCCGCAGCATCGACTGCCACACATTTTTGCACCCGGAAAAGCCCTTGGTGAGAAATATCATTCTTCACTCCGGGTGTGCACTCCCTCCACTTCCAGTGAGTGACCCAGAGGGTAAGCACTTCAGCGCTCTTGCCAAGGCGCTCGGTTTTCCCGGCGGTGATGCCGCGGCGGAGCTGCAGTTCATGAGACACCAACCTCCGCAAGAGCTTCTCGAGGCTATCCAGCATCACTGGGCTACTGAGGAGAAGCCTTTTCTGAGTTTCCGGCCCGTAGTAGACAACTTTACCCTGTTTGATGATTATGAAGACAGAGCCAAGGCAGGAAACTTCAGTAAACTGGTAAGCGAGTCCCTTCCTCTGATTGCCATTTGGTCATTGCTGATCGGCCTCAATAAGCCGGCCATTTGTGGAACCATGAACGATGAAGGTAACTCAGTTGCTGTGTATCATCCCGATGGAGCAGATTCATACTGGACTGAAAAGATTACAAAAGACTACTTCCTGGGACCAATGGTATCCATGGCGCGGTACGAAATACTCTCCTCAATACATAGTGATAGTCTGAGTCTAACTGCTGATGGTCTACTAAATATTAGAGCACGCTCTACTCATGCTCCCACGTTCCGCTTCTTGGTCAAAGACTATTCGCCTGCTGGTACCAGTTCATTCCCCAATATTAGTCCACGGCCATGGTTACGAGCCTACCACAGCTCGGACATGCCTTTGATCTTTGGGACCCACGATTTGGCTCGTGGCCCATCCACACCATTGGAGGAGAAGTTATCACGAGCTTGGCAAGATTTCTATATTGCATTTGCAGAAGATGGGCCGGATGGATTGCGCAAGATGGGATGGAATGACATGAGTGAAAGCGTGGGCATTGTGCTAGGTGGCGGTGAGAAGGGTTGGGAGACTGTCAGCCTGGAAGAGATTGACAATAGGTGAAGTTCGCAGGGATGGTTTCATAAAGATAATATCTGAATGAGGAAGCTTCGTGATGACGATGATAACCAGCCATGAATATTAATTGTCTTGAAATCCTTTGGCGTAGGGCCACATTCCGAAATTCAACATTGGGATGACCTTGATGAAATTGACTCTACGTGCGGCTTTCACTTTTCCAAGTACACGCTGTTGCATATGTCTCTAAAGACCTCCATGGTTCTCTGCCACCCTCCAACAACATCATCAACTCTCTTCGCCATATCCCTTCCCAAAGGAAGCATTCTCTCACTCTCCTTACCCGCTCCTACTCCCGTGCCAGTGACAATATCATATATCACCTTGGCCGCCTTCAAATGATCTCCATCTGCGGGGAAGCCCTCTGTTGCCGATGCGACCATGACTTTGAAAATCGCATCCAGAGCACTACCATCGTAGTCAAAAGGCGTAGGGTTACTCGCCAGCCTAACTGTCGGCCCCATGTTCGTGTCGAACGACCCAAGTGCAACTGTTAAGACACGGACGCCGAACGGAGTCATTTCTTTTGCGAGGACTTTACTTACTCCTATTTGCACATAAATTCATCAGCTAGTAACTCGCGAGAGAGTCTAGATTCATTCCACTCACCATCCATCGCAGCTTTCGCAGCAGCATAAACGCCCATTGACTCTCTCCCCTCCAACCCAGCCCCAGAGCTGATATTCACAATAATACCACTTCTTCGCTCCCTCATGAGAGGAGCCAACGCTCTCATCAGCCGGTAAGGTCCAAAGAAGACCGTATCCATCTGCGACCTCGTCTCTTCTTCAGTGAAACCTTCTGCCGGGCCATGAATGGACCATCCAGCATTGTTGACCAGCACATCGATATGGATTCCAGCTTTCTCGAGGTCCGTGATGATGTCTCCCGAGTTTAGATCGTCGACGTCGAGCGAGAGCCAGCGCCCTCCCCCATCCTGGACTTCACGCACTAGGTCGGGTGTCTTTTGGGGATTGCGTGAGGTGGCAATGACAGCGTGGCCGTGTTGTTGCGCCAGTCTTGTGAGAGCTAGTCCGAACCCGGATGAACAGCCGGTGATGAGCCATGTAAGAGGTCTATTTGGGACAGCGAGAGGACGAGACATGATGATGGAAGTGGAATGTCTGCACAGAGGCTTTGATCAAACCCCGACAATAGGCATTTTTAATAACTCAAAAGACGAACGAGTTTATATGCTATATCATTCACCTCGTAAATACGGGGGTTGAGTTTGAACCCGAAGGGCCACAGATGTGAACGGCCCCGCATCGGCGTGTCACTAGACATCGGCCGGGGCGGACTTAAGCCAGCTCCGGACTACGTCCGGGTCATACACCACGACAAACCGGCGACTAGATTGCTTTTCAATTTAGTCAATATTCTATAGAACGCTGGATCTGAGCAGAAACTAATCACTGGTTCGATGACTGCGATTTGATGGCATGGGATTTGACTTGGCCTTCCTCGACCTCGCAGCAGATGAGTATGCGTGTTGATCTCAAAGTAGACTCACTCAGGGCAACACGATATATTTTGTGTAGTTTTCATCAGAATGTAAATTTCCCCCGCTTGAATTGAGAACTTTCAGAAATCAAGACTCATGGGACTTGTATTCCACCTTAGATGACACGATCAACAACCCAAGCTTGGCCTTAGGTTGCACACCATCAGCTTTGACTTCTCCTAGACGCCAATGTTTTATGCAAATGAAACCAGTTTCGAGTTCTTACAGCTCTTGTTCAATTCAAGAGAAACTCAAAGGAAAGACCTTGACGAGCTTGCGAAGGGGCTTGGGGGTGGATACTAGTTTTTTGAGGCGTTGTCGGCTTGGCATTTGGGATCAACAGAAGCATTATTAAATCCTACATGAACAGCCGATTGTTTGAGAGGACAATTCATCTTAGCCTTTTTTCCAAATCCTGGTTGATTTTGGCTGCCTTTCTCGCCTTTTCTTTCAACAGGCCCTTCTTACGCCATATGATTGGAGGCATTTACCAGAATGGAAGGCTGAGTACGTGACACCATCTACACCACTAAGGCGCAGAGAGTTTGCAAGAGACCAAATTAAAATCCAGTAGTCTTGCTTGCGCTTTATTTAACTGTGAATCAAGTGATGAATTCAAAATCCGGGCACAAGCGAACAAACAATTGCGCATACATGACTGCGATTGCCAAGATAAATATTAATAAACGTGAGCTAATGCGATAGGTCATCAGCCGTAGATCCTTCCTTCGCTGCCACGAACCAAGTGCAAGAGTTTGTGGAATAGACCTCAGGTTACACGAAAGGGATGGAGCAAACTTGCAGTTGACAATTTGGCATTTGTGACGGTAACAATCTGGAAACGGCGTGGTCAGAGGAGCTCCGCAAACCCTAATAGTGAACCTCGCGCCCAATGCCAGATAAACCTGGCAACCGGCAAGAACTCCGTGAGATCGTAACATTGAAGCTGCGGGCCACTCTTGAGTAGTTGGCCAATCCATCACGAATGTTTCTCTGACTGTCACGATGAGCGCATGGGGATGATGGATAACGGAGCCGCCTCCGAGTTCAACTCCGGTAGATTGGAGTCTTGGACAGACTCGGACTCGGACATTGAAATCAAATCCCTGGCTTTGCGGTTGCGGCACAGCAGGATTGCGAAAAATGCAAGGGGTGAAGTCAATTTTTGGCCGCAAACGCGGATACCTTTCCTGAAAGAGAAGTTTGCGTACCGAGCGATTGGTTTGATTGTTGATCGTGACCCTTGCCAAGCCTGTGAACTCTATTGTTCGTTCTTTCTAGCGCGATGTCACCTAGGTCTCGAGCGCTGAATTGGCAAGACATCAATCCGAAGCCTTTAGATATTGTGGCGTTTATCGGTACCAGCAGTTGTCAGTTGAGGCTTGCAAACTGCTTGATAAGATTGCTTCCCCAAACCAACAAAGCCTACTGTGTACTTAGTTATGCAGTCAGCTACATGTTCTTGGAACTTAGAAATGTGAGAGGAGGTGCTGGTGTGTCAAATGCAATAGACCATGCTGTCGCAGAGAATACCGACATGCCAGTATAGCTGTCAAAACCTAGATGCTTCCCCCCACCAGTGTCGCAGCAGGATGGAAGAGGAAGCCATCTCCGTTCGTCTGAACTCTATGCAAATCCTGGTTCGGGAGCGAACTCTGCCGTTCTAAATGGGAAGGATAAGAAAGAGAGAACAGAATTCCAGGGATGGCCAGCCAAGAGCTTTGGAAGTTTCTTCGGACTAGCAACGCAGGAAAGCCTTCTCACTACTCCGTACATGATTAAGGGATGCACGTTTGCAAAATCAGATTGCATGCTGCAGCCAAGGCTGTTTGCTAAAAACGCATGGCCATTCTACGCCGCTTTCTGGCAGACCACACGTGCAGGGCCAGTACATCAGTGACAGTCAACCCAGAGCACCGAACCGGGTTTTCGGGCCCTTGGATCTGCGAGTTGCCCGACACCTACCTCTATTCCCTTCATTGAAATGATTCAAATTCCAAGACTCAGTATTAGACAAACAGGAGCAAAAATGGAACCAGGAGAAGAAGAAAAAAACAGGGCCACTCGTCAATCTCTGACACGCCGTCAGCCTACCACTCAAGTCTGACAAAATCACAGTAAGCAAAGCAGGCACGCAGACAGAGACAAAAGAACCGTGGAGCAGGTTCCACGTGTAAGCCTGAACTGGGCAGAAAATTGGGTCAGTGGCCAAGGTCAGCCCGTGCTCGCATGAACCAGTCGCCTTCGCCAACATCGATCTTCCCGCGAAACTCGAGGGGCTGTGGACTCTGGCATTGGCGAATCACGTTGGCTGACTCTGCTTTTCGAAGTCAGACTAGAGCCCTAAGAGCCGGCAAGTTGCCTGCGGGATAGATGCGAAGTGCATGACATTTTGTTGTTGGCTCTTATTTGACAGAGAGGGTTCTGGCCCGCGTCCGAGACCATACAAATGCCTGAATTGAGACATTTAGTCTTAGCACAATCTTGCCATCCACAGTGACAATTTTCCGATGTGTTCTAAAATCTAAATAAGATGGAATAATTCCCGCATTCCAACCCAATCGCCGGAAACTAATGGCTCATCACGGGCTCCAATCTCGCGGCCCCCAATATCACCACACGGAAACCAGGTCTCCCGCCGCGTGGCTTTGCCCTAAGGTCGGGGGGCTCTTTCAAGGCATACTATGTAGGCAAGCAAGCCGCAAAGTAACTCATCCCCCAGTCCTCGCCCATTGCTCACAGACGGCCGGCCGCCGGAACCCCGGTCCCGGCGTGATTGCGACAAGGAACATGGCATCAGAAGTGCCCCATTATAGGGTCCGCCGTCTCATACGAGGGTGCAGCTGAAAAGCCTGGCACAAGAATGGAAAAAAGAACCATAGGAACCGAGGAACATCCGCGAGTTGAAGCAGAGTCAGAAACTCCACAGCGCCCGGCGGCGCTCCGGGGAGAGACGGTTAACGGGCTGCTGAATTGTCGTCAATGGTTCGGAGGGGCATGCGACGGTGCCACAGTGGTGTCCGATGGCTTCCGCTAGAACAAGACTAGAAGATGGGAACACGAGTAGCTAGTCTTGCGCCTCTTTCATCTCTTCATCTCACAACCGCCACTTGGCCCGAGGTTAGCTCTCTCTTAGTCTGTTCTTATTCATTGTTTTCTGCCCTCCTCGGCTCAACGCCTTTCGTCAGTGCTCAACGCGCGTTGCCGTTATCAGGATGCAGAATTTCTGCAGAATGCTGAAGCTCGTCACACAGCTTGCGGATAGATGACGAAGATGACAACGCACGGTGGAAAAGGAAAACTTGGCCGCTTTTCATACTTTCAGGCTTTTGCCTCCACTAGTTCTCCACAGAGTTCAAACCCTTTCAAACAAAGCCCCGATCCTTCATAGTGCATCCGGCGAGATACGATGAACCCCGGACGACAGGTCAGAAACATTTAATCTATCAGTGAGGAACCCTTACGAATCCCCCAAAGCTGGGGCAGACAGGAGACAAAAGTATTGGGTTCTCAGGCCACATTTACTCTGCTGGGTAGTATCGAACCCTTCCAATGGACCCCCTTGGTCTTCCAGAGAAAGGTCGAGATCCGCCTATGGATGATGGACCTTCCCCTGGACCAGTCCGCGAATAATCCGACATAATCCGGTCATTGGGCCGAGTACAGGGCAGAGTGCCGAAGGATTCGGCCGGTTGCCAATATATGAGCCATGGAGATTGCCCACGATCCGCTGCTGCAGCCTGCATGTGAAGCGACTTCAAGCGAGAGTTGCTTCCCCCGAGCTGAGCCAACCCACGCGGACAACCCATACATATACGGATATAGACTCAAGAGGACAAGTGGTAGAGTCCATATCTTGCCTCTTCTCGAGTCATAATATCGGCGATTGGCTCGAATACTCGCATCGCCCATCGAGCACATCTCAGTTTTCTCCTCCCCATCCCAACTTTGATCGAACATTGGCCACCAATGGCGTGTCGTGCCGGCTCAGACCCTCTAACCGTCCCCATTTTCAACTAATTACTCCACACACAGCGTGCCGGATGTGCCACCAGGATAGGGATAGCACCGGCCAACTGCGACGCCATCTCTGTCCGGGCTAACGTCCCAAGGGGTAAAAAAGGGACAGGACACACGCCCCCCTTCGAGTCTGTGTGTGATGAGCCTGCCATGCCTTGCGTGTCCGTCTTGGGGGCACGGGGGGCGGTCTTCCAGAAAGAAAGAGGTTCCTTCGATGCGGTTACTGAACCTGCCACACCGAAACTCTGGCTCTTCTTCGGGCGTTTCCTCCTGGTTATTTCGGCATCTTGGTTTGCTTCTCTGTGTGTGTCAAAGCTGGATGCACCACCACACCACCACTTACAAGTTGCAACCGTTCCTCGGGAACAATCAGCTTCGCCTCAGCTTTGCATTGCCGCGCCAGCCTCGGCCAGCCTCCGGTCGTCACACAAGCTTTTGCCGTGCCGTCGGCGATTGCCCACCGAACTGGAAAAAAAAATTTCTCCCATTGTTTGTTCATCGGGATCGGGCTACGCTTACCATGGGTCCGCAGTGGCATCGCGAGGAGGTTTCCAGGCAAGGCATCTCAATACCGGTGGGATGCTGGCCCCTGCCACCGCATCTGTGATCATTGATCTGGGCTCTCCTCTGCACAAAGCACGAGAGCAGCCCCTCTTCCAGGGCGAAAAGTTCGAGGAGAATTTCCTCTCGCTGGGCCCCCCGGGTGTTGATCCTTGCGCTCACGATGCTCCCCGACCCTTGCTCGCCTTGGTTCGGCGACCATGGCTGGGCCCCCCCTTCCTGGGGTTTCTTTTCCCACCCTGAAGATATGCATGTACGAAGTACGGATATGGGTGGATTTGTGTGGCACAGATGACGGCCCTCCATCCGCATTTTCATCCAAGTCTCTCTCCATGGGTTGACCCCTCGATCACTAGTATTCACTGCAAGTCCGGTCCCCTACCCGACATGTGCGGCGCTCCAGACCAGTCGTGGCCTCGGTCCGCTGCCATGCCACGTTGACGGGGAGCCTCCTGCATGTCAGTGTATCACATCTCTCGCTTTCTCTCTCTCTGCGCAAGGCAGTCCTCGCCTGCCATATACGGCCGTCGTCCTGGGTCAACCCTGGGTATCCCACAGCCGGAGCTGGGAACTGGGGTCCTATGTTTGTCCTGTCCGGTATTCCAACCATGGTCGAGTTCCCTCCAAACGTCGCCCTCGGCTAGGAGTGAGTACCAGAAACCACGCCGTCGTCCGGTCTCCGCCGCCACCACTGAGACTTGTATAGTGCGTAGAAACGATGGGGAAAGGGGCGCGCCGTTTGCTAGAACAGTTCAACAGCCGTCATACCACCTTGAAGTGTAACGGCGACCACCGTGTGTCGAAACTAGACCGCACGCTACCGGCACACTGGTCTTGTGTGGCGTTGATCCCAAGTGGAACCGCCGCACCGCAGAAGAAGCTCCCTTTGCTGCATCGAGCATCATCTCCGCGTTGGCATGTCGCTACGAAGGAACCACGCAACCCATCCCGAGGAGCTCCCCCAAAGTGGCCTCTTCTTTCTTGTGCTTGTTGACTAAGACAGAGGGTGTGGAAGGTGTTTCACGACAACCTTAATCCCTCCCGTCCGCCCATCCTCCCGCCCCTTTCACCTCGTGTTGGTAAAACCTTTTGACGCCTCCATCACGACCAACGACTCTTCGATTATGACGCTCACGCCATGTTGAGGTGATACATATCTAGCTTGTACGACGACCCTGTTTTCTTCTCCCGGCCCTCTTTTGAAAGAGGTGGAGGTTCTCCCTCGTCTCTCACCTGGAAACACCCCAATATGAGATTCATCTCTCTGTTGCTGTCCGTGGCTGCGGTGCTCTCATGTGCCGCGGCGCAAAGCGATGCTGCTTCAGCTGTAGCATCGCTACCAAAATGCGCAGTATGTTACATCTTGAACGCAATGAACTTCCTCATGCTGTAAATACTGACTATATGACAGCAAGCATGTCTTGTCACGGCAGTCCTCAGCTCCCCATGCGCGTCGACCAACCAGACGTGTATCTGCACCAATGCTCCTTTGCAGGTCGAAGTTGAAGCCTGTGTTCTGCAGAACTGTACTCTCAGGAATGCCCTCAGTGAGTGACTTTGCCTTCCTCCGGGTGTCATCAAGTAAATCGCCCCAGGACCTGTTGTCTAACCCGTCGCCCTCCAACAGCAACCAAGAACATCACCCAGACGACATGTGGCGCGACCCCGAGAGACCGCACGCCGATGTACAACACCATCTCCATCACAATGGGTTGCCTGTCTGGTTTATTCGTAATTATTCGCCTGGTACACAAGGTGTTTGCGACAATGGGTGATCTCGGCATGGACGACTGGTTTATTCTCATTACACTCGGCTCCGGCATTCCGGGAACTGTAATCAACACCCACGGATTCGCCGCCAACGGCCTCGGCAAGGACATTTGGACCGTCTCTTTCACCAAGATCAACGACTTTGGGTATTGGTTCTTTATCATGGAGCCGATGTATTTCGCTCAGGTTACGCTGCTCAAGATGTCTCTCCTCTTCTTCTATATGCGCATCTTTTCGCAGAGCAGTATCAAGAAACTCATCTGGGGCACCATCGGATTCAACGCAGTGTTCGGCCTCACCTTCATATTTGTCGCCATCTTTCAATGCCAACCGATCAGCTTTTACTGGACAAAGTGGGACGGAAACCGCAACGGACAATGCTTGGATATCAACGCCATCGCCTGGGCCAATGCTGGCATCAGTATTGTGTTGGATATCTGGATGCTCGCTCTGCCTCTATCTCAGATCAAGGGCCTGAACTTGCATTGGAAGAAGAAGGTGGGCGTGGCCATGATGTTCTTCGTCGGCACCTTGTAAGCCTTCAAACCGCGTTCATTTCCCCTGAGAATGTTTTCTAACATGACCCCAGTGTTACCGTCGTCAGTATTCTGCGCCTGCAGTCTCTAGTCGCGTTCGCAAAGTCCCAGAACCCGACCTGGGATCAATTCGAAGTAGCGACCTGGTCCACCGTCGAAATCAACGTGGGCATCATCTGCGCCTGCATGCCCTCAATACGCGTCATCCTCGTCGGCTTCTTTCCCAAGCTGCTGGGCACGACACGGCGCGGCACATCCGCAGCAGCCAAGTACTACATCCAATCGAGCGGCAACGGCCGCAGCCGGAACAGGACGCTGGGCAACGATGCCAAGGTCAGGACCGTCGATCGCGAATCGGGGCTCTCGAGCAGCCCGAACGGCATCATGTACACCAAGGAGTACACTGTGGACTATCACGACGAGACGAGCTTGGTTCACATGCGGGAGTTGGAAGCGGGCAGCTCAAAGACAGGGAGGACGGGACGAAGCGGTTCCCCGTTCTGATTTGCCCTGGTTGTTTCTCCTTTGTTACTAGCGGAATTTTGGCTCGAAGTCTGCGCTTGCAACGAGTTGTATGACACAAGATGTTTTTTTTTTTTTTGGATACCACAATAGCGTGAGGGAGTACCAGAAGGTATGCCCAATGGTAATTGACTTAATCGACTCACCGAAAGATCTCCCTACGGAAGTGATGGCCCGAATTAGTGCGAAAATGTTCCGAAAACCACGAGATCGTCCGTTCAGCGATGGTTGATCCTTCAACAACGAACCGCTCGGACCCCTTCTTTGATCGTGTGATTGAGATGGCCCCCGCGCAAGCAGCGTCCCTAAACAAGCAGAACCTCGGACTTGAGCCTGAGAACGGGAATAGTGGCTTCTTGGCCGGCTATCACAACCGAGTTCTCGACCGCCTATTCCAAGTTCCTTCACCCCATCGTCGGTGGTTGAATCCATTTGGGACACCCTTCCAAGGTCGTTACCCTTGTACAAGGGGCTGGTGGTTGTCTAGGGCCCCCAATAACACCCATTTCCACTCGGAGAGATACCTTGACATTTGGCTCCGCACCCACTCAGCCGGATTGAGTCCTTCCCAGGGCCATGAGCGGGCCGTGGGCGGATGCACTGTCAACGTGGTCTTGGCCTAGGACAGATAAGCCCGCTGTCCGCCAACCGCTCTCGCCTTAGCCTCTTGCCTAATGTGGCACTCGTTACCCTTCCTGAGCTTACGCGATATCTTGTAGCGATTGTACATGCAGTCGGTTTGGCTACAGTTTTGGGTTAACGTTCATTCTCTACAGGTCTAGTGGGGGAGGTAGCCGATGGCTCAACAAGATAGAGGCGGCGTCCCCCGGCAAGGCAACCGGGTATTATTCTGAAGGCGGGTGTCCGCGTGGCGCATTGCCTGGCGTATGTGACTGGCCAATTGTAGATTGAGCAACGAGATGTCCCCTTGCCAATGGCAGCTTTGCCCGGATCTGCATTGACGTGTCTCAGTGGGTTGCAGCCAGCAGTTGCCGACGTAACATGTGGTCAACCCTATAGAACCCCCTTCAGAAGCTATTGAAAATAGGTGGATGGGGGTTTGGTGCGGTCTAACCGTTGCGGATCGACACCAGGGCAAGGAATCTAAGCAATGACTTGAGACGATCTCGTCGTCTCTGAGACGTCAAGTCGTTGAGTGAGCGGGATAGGGCGCATGCATATTGGTGTCGGTGACTCCAGGCGCATTGCGTAAGAGTCTTTCTGTAAGACTCTCTTCAACGATCTGGGCCGACACCTTGCGTGACGACTTACTTTAGTTGCTGTCTCTGCAAATACTCACCTGACGAGAAGACTATGACTAACACTCAATAGCATTGGTGATCGACAGTCTTGCTGTAAACCGGCCATGATTAGTCGAGGTTGACCAGACGGAGGATGAGTGATCAAGTGTTCAAGAGCAGCTGTAATGCTGAATAGGTCGGGAGTCAACTGAGTACATGACGACTCTCTCTCTCTCCCTTGCGTCTTCGGCAAATTTGCTCGCTTCTCGCGGATTTTCTGCTACAGGTACTCCTCAACAAAAGTTTAGCTTTGCAACACTACCATCCCTAATTTGTGTTGTACAAGGAATTAAGTATAATGACTGGCAGACTCACTGAGGCTCTATGCTATACTAAATCAAATATTGAGCGTCATGATGCATCTACTTACTCAGCCAACTGAATGCGCTTTGGAGCATGAAGCGAGCACTATGCGGCCCCGATGCGAGGGGCTTCTTCCATCGCCACGCTCTCAAAGTCAATCTTGTCGGCGGGATGAAACGCGGTTGGGGGCCACATCATTTACCAGAATCTCACAACCTCCAACGGGGAGATTCCGAGATTCACCACTTGCGACCTAAGCGATGGTTCATTCTTCAGCATCGATGCGACGCTGCGGAAGCATTTGCGCTTTGACCTTCGCGTTTCCAAGACTCTAGTAGACTTCGCTTGCGGGGTTGCGTGTAAGTAATAGGTAGAAGGGGCTACACTATTGTCCATGAGGGACACTGGAGTGAGAATATGGATGGTTGTAGTTGTCACTCACCATCATTTTACGCTTATAGGCTATTATTATTGAGGCATATCGCGCTTGGAGTTCTCATTAGCCGATCGGCTCTTTGGAAACATGTTGCATCGGTTTTGTAGTATTGAATGCCTCACTCAAAGTATGAGAGACTGAGAGTAGACTTGGTCGGCCCTTCTACTGTCTTGCCCTCAGCCGGATTAAGCTAGGTCTAGGGATGCCTCGCGGCAAGTGATGAGTGCGTTCGTACTCCACTACCTTGAAGTGGTTCATTATCGACTAAGGAGTACTGCGGTTATATCGAGGATCAAACCTTGAGGTAGGTTCCGGTCTATGTGTTGCCCTTGACTGCAGGTGCGTACTGTGGACGCTGCAGTACCCTTGTTTGTCTTGACACGGTTCGCCTTGGTCTATCTCTTCGGAGAAGCAAATACCTAGCCTCAACTCCGCTAATGGTCATCAGGGCGATCTAATCAAGCCTTCACCATCTGTGTGCTCTTCTACGAAGACACCGGTGCATTTGTCTAAGATAATTCTCTCGCAACACTAGGGCGTGCCACGTGAAAGTTCCCAGCCACAGACATTTAAGTATACATACTTGAACGAACAAGTCAAGCATCGCGCTTTCAAGTAGTCAATCTTGGCATTTCAATTTACGCCACAATTACACTTGTCTCAGGCAATCCTGAGCCGTCGACTTCGGAGATGAGCAGTAGTGGCAAGTGACCATGAGTGACAGAAGGAGAACTCGTACCATGCATGTGGCAAAACACCTTGGTAGACAGCTTGAACCGCCAACTGCTGCGAAAGCCAAGTCACAGCTCTCAAACGAATGGCCAGTATGTGATATATCTTTGGTCTTGCAGATACGGCGAGGCTAACCGGAGCGAACTAGCCGATCGACCAGAACCTTCCCGGAGCCACTTGCCAGTGCGGTAACAAGTGCCAGCTTTAGCCCCTGCTTCGACAATCAAGCTTACTTATTCTAGCGTCATCCCATCACCGCATTCACCGGCGAAACTAGTCGATTCAGTCAGTCTACCCCCTCACGAACCATATCATGAGTCAGTCGCCTCCGATGCGAAGCTAAAGTTGCCCACGAAACTCATCACATCATCAGGAGTAGCTTCACCTAGCAGAGGTTCAGGTCGGTGTAACAGTGAGAAGGAAGCTATGCAAGTACAGCTAGATTCGAGACAGTCGCAGTTGTAAATTCGATGCTGGTGAGTTTCGTGGACGTCGACGACAAAGTACAGGTACTCATAGAAACGACATAGAAACTTCGAAGCTCGCGCTAGCGGATTGAGCCGTGTTTCTCACATCTTTCAGGTCCTCAGGCTCTGCTTCTGGATGGAATGGTCTTGTGAGTTGGAGTGGGCACATTTAGAAACACAACAGTCATTTTCATACCCGAAGAGGAACTTTGGAAGCCAGAAAATAACAATGGCAACTTACATCGCTTGCAAATCTAGCGCGGACTTCTGGTTGCCTCGCATGAGGAAAACCGCAACCGTTCATCCTCACTAAACACGATCGAGGTCTTACCAGCTACTTTCTCCATGCCTCCCTCCTACTTCATCAAAGCCGTTTCAGCGTGAACCAAATTATACGGTGGATAGAGCGTTGTAAAACCTGACGGAGCAGGGCAAATAACAAAGACTGCGAAGCTTGCCCGTAAACGTAATAAGAGTTGCACGGTTGTAAAGCTTTCAACTCACTTTGGGGAAAGCCAATCGGATGATAGGCCGTGTCACCACTCGGGATTCTCCAACGGATAGCGAAAGGTTCAAACGAGTTTTCACAACATCAAAAAACGACGGTGTTCAGAAAATTTGAGGAAACCCGCGACCAAAGGTTTCGTGGACAAAAAGACTATGATCAGTGGGAGGCTTGAACTCCCGGCCTTGGCATTACACAACATTTCAGGTGAAATATTAGTACCACGCTCTAACCAACTGAGCTAACCGACCAATTGATTGTAGGCTGAACGGTAAACTGTTTATAGCTACCCCACCACGCCATTCTTGCACTCACTACTGTGTTTTCTCTCGTTGAATAGGACAATACGATCTTGTACCATTAATTGACAGGCGAAAACTACTATTCCCCTTGTTCTTGTTGAAGTCGCTTCAGAAATGGTTCGAGATCCTGTTTGTAGTCTTACATAAAGAGCCGCTCTAGTAAAATAGACCAACAACTCTAGATACTAGCTTCTAACCCACACCAACTCTATACCTGCAAGTCGCTCCACGAAAACTCCGGTCGCATCCATTCATACGTGTCCAAAAGATCAAAATTGAAATCTAACTGGGCCGAGAAGTCCCACTCCATGGCATCGCCAGACGGATGGCTGTTCGGTGCCCCGTTGAGCGCCTCATCCAGCACCTGCTGCACAATGGCCATGGTGCTCGCGCAAATGCTGCCCGAGGCCTCGGATGGGCTCACCCACTTGAGGAAGCCGACTAATAGACTCAGCACCTGCACAATGCCAGATCTAGTGATGACCTTTCCGTTGCTGTCTGTGACAGGAACTCCGCTGTTTGCGAGAGTCAAGGTTGGCTTTAGTAGTTCTAGGCAGAGAATTCCGCCTCCTGGAGCGGCGTATGCCATGACCTAACGAAGTCAATGCTGTCAGTCCTGATATTCCCTATGCCTATAATTCCTTGAGGTTTGACTTGGTGTTGAACTCACAAGCCACTTAAAATCCTCACACAGGACACCGAGACTATGCGTATCAGTCCAGAACAGCAACGTTGTCGCTGTCATCTCATAGCTAACCGACAGCAAATCCCGCTTGTTGGAACAGTCCTGTCGATGCAGAAGTCGCTCGATGAAGAAGAGGTTCTGCAAGTGCTCCAATTGCATGAGCAGCCGCACGTGGAACATCTGACCAGTGAGACTCGGGTTTCGTATGTCTGATTCTTGGAACCGCATAATGGCCGGCATCTCGGGCGCGGCCGCGAACTCTTTTGCTTTCAATGCACTATAGAATTGACATGGAATTAGCATTTCCTTGGCTTGAACTTCTCGTATAGTTCCTCGGCCTCCCACTTACAGCAGAACTTCCACCGATATAGCCGCTTCAGGTCCTAACGCAACCTCAAAGATCTCGTCACGGATGATCATGAGCTTATACCGGGCTCGCCAGAACGTGACCGAGTTCAGCGCCCCGTCGGGGTTCCATCCCGACTTGTCTAGCGATCTCCCCGCCTTGTTAATTGTCTCATCGTCGCAAAGTAGGTAGTCGTCCCGTATATCAAGCGGCATCGGCGTCAGGATGTACCGGCGACTCAGGGCGGGCGGTCGTCCCGTGATCGCCGAGCCGACCTTATCGAGGACGAAAATCTTCACGAGGAGCCGTCTCCGCAGCTCCGATGCCAGGGTCGGTTTATAGGGCCCCTTGTTCTGCTCAACGTGCAGGCCGAGGAAGGTGAGGAGTGAGACCGTCTCCCCTTGTGTCATCCATGTTGAACGACCTATGTTTCACGTCAGCTGCTTGTCATGAAGATTACACGTCTGGAATAGGGGTCGAGAAGTGGCATATTAGCAGTAACTTACTAGTATCTCCATCAACGACAGACTCAATAATCATCCTTCTGAAGTAAAGATATAGCAATAGCGTATTTCCAACCTCGTTGGCCTGCCTTGCCAAAGTAATGCAGTCAAAAATACACTTCCTGAAAGCGTTCTTCTGCCCGTACCCCATTCTCCCAACCTCCGTCCTCGGAAGCTGCTCATTCCGAAGCTTCATCTCCCAATAAATGAATAAAAGCCCCAGCGTCTCCCACCTTAAATTCTCCTTTGTAAACTGGGCAATCCATAAATCGGGGTCGGGCTCGTGCTCAAAGAACGGCCGGGACGAGTTATAGCACAGCCGCCGCGCGAACTCGGACAGTTGCGCATCGTCCCGGGTCGTGTTACTGAGATAGTGTCCGAAAGTACCATACAGCGAGTCCAGGGCCCTCACGGCGACGGGGTGGATGAAGGCATTGTGCGGGTCAAAGTGTGAGTCAAAGAGCGCCCGGCCCTGGCGTTCGTCGGGAACCAAACGGAGAATGAAGAGGCACGTCTCCAGCGTTCTGGCATCTTCGGAGAGAACGATGGTCGACCTGGATTCCCGGCCGGTGGTGGAAGTGAATCGGACCTCCTTCTCAACGTGTACGTCGTGGCCGGAGAGCCCGTTGCCAACTTCCTTGTACACGTCGCTCCAGGACATGAAGCCGAGGTGGCCGGATACGCTCTCCGGCGCAACGGCCTCACGACCCGGAGCACACTGCCCCTGTGTTTCCGTTTCCGTCACGACAGGGCTAATTTCAGACTGCTGGCCAACTAGTGTGGACGCCGTTGCAGGCTGATATTGCCGTTCACTATGTTCGGCGCCCGTCTCCGAGCACGTTACACTTGCTGAACGAGACGTCCGTTCCGAGACAGCACGGGGAGCTCCTGGCCGCATCTGCGCCGGCGTACTCATTGTGAACTCGCACGGTTCCGTTCGCCTCCTTCTCTTGCAGTTACTGCAAACCGGGCGAGCGTGATCGCATGCGACTTTGCGACGGCGACAGGGGTCGCATGCTTGAAGCCGACCGTTCTTTCGGTAGCGGAGTGGTGAAGACGCGGACTCCATGATGACTGCCGATATTCACAGGGAAGCCGAAAAGAAGATCAAAACGATACCAACAAACTTTCTCCCGGGATGAATAGACTTCCAAGTTTTCAATTGTGCCAGATTTTCCTCATTCTCGATTGTCTTCGGCGAGATCATGGAGGAATGAAAGCGAAGAAGCCGAACTTTCTGAGTCTTGCCGAACGTCTAACCGAACAAATCTGACAAAGTTCGGCTTCGGATGGTCTCCGCAGTCTCGGGAAGAGCCTAACCGCGAACGGCAAACAGCCGGGTCCATGTTCATTCTTCCACTTTCCGCTTTCCGCAGTTCTCTCCCCCCTCCACCTATGAAGATTAATTATTATGAAGTACTTAAGTGCTGTTAGACTGTAGGCCCAACCCAACTTTGCGGGGCTCAGTCCGTTCAAGAAGGCCTCCACACTGTCGACTGGGCTCAGCAACGATGGGGAAACCTTCTCCGACGTCGATTGCGCCTTATGGGGCGGCAACTCATCATGACTTGTGTCAATCAACCCCTCCCGACGCCGGCGCCCCTCGGCGCGGCGCACAAGTTGCCGTTTGGAAAAAGAGACTGCTCAAAGTAGCCATGCCATTTGTGTTCCAAAACGAGGGATGCATTACAAACCATTACGCCTACTCTTGAACTGTTGCAATCGATTTCTCTCACTCGTTTCTGTTAGAATGTATTAGAACCTTCAAGTTCCTCATGGCATTGCTTCGAGTTCCCAGTGGTTCGCTGTCATGTCTTTCAACAATCGCATATCCAACGATGCATTTCCACATTCGGAACCCTCTTCCGAGGTAAGCACGGCAACGCAGCAGAAAGAGACCACGGCCGTCAACGAGAGTGAAGGTGTCGAGATCGAATCACGTCCTCAAGATGGCGGCCGTCTGGCCTGGCTCCAGGTTGCGGGCTCATTCTTCCTATTTTTCAACTCATGGTTAGTAGTCTTCCTTCCAATCTTGTCAGCTACGACCTGCTGCTAAGAAGCAATTCACAACTAACTTCCGCCGCAGGGGTATCTTGAGTTCCTACGGCGTCTTCCAAGCATACTACCAAGAACACATGAAGCACGTATCCGCCGACTCAATAGCCTGGATCGGCTCCATCCAGTCCTCCCTCCTCCTCTTCACAGGCGTACTCGTCGGCCCTCTCTACGACGCAGGCTACTTCCGTAGCCTCACCTTCACAGGCATCACCCTCATCTTCCTCGGCATGACAATGACTAGCATCGCGACGGCGTACTGGCAGGTCCTCCTCGCACAAGCATTCTGCGTCGGCTTGGGCTCCGGGTGCATCTACATCCCCTCCGTCTCCATCATCCCGCAGTACTTTTCTGAGCGCCGCGCCCTCGCCACGGGTATCGTCGCAACGGGCAGCTCCCTCGGCGGTGTCGTGTACCCCCTCATCTTCCAAAGCCTGTGCCCGCGCGTGGGCTTTCCCTGGGCGACGCGGGTCCTCGCCTTCATCTCCCTCGCTACAAACGCGTTTGCCTTCAGCGTCTTGCGGCAGCGTCGCAGGGCCGAGTCTGAGTCCGATGATGAAGGCGCCGGGAAGCGGAAGCGCCGCGTCATGTTGGATCTCTCTGCGTACCGAAACGTCTCCTTTGTCGTCTTCTCCGCAGCAATGTTCTTCAACTTCTTCTCGTACATGGCACCCATCTACTATCTTCAACAATACTCCCTCGCCCATGGCCTATCAAGCCCAGGCTCTTCGAAACTAGCATACTACCTAGTCGCGATTCTCAACGCGGGCTCGATCCTCGGCAGAGTCTTTCCCGCCTGGCTCGCCGGCCACTTTGGACCCATCAATGTTCTCCTCGGTGTCTCTGTCTCCATCGCCGCCGTCGCGCTGAGCTGGCTGGCCGTACATGACGCCGCGGGCAGCATCGCTTTTGCCCTCGCCTACGGCTTCGCCTCTGGTGGGCTCGTCTCGCTTCCGCCCACCGTCATCTCGAGTCTCGTGCCTGACCTCAGCTTACACGGCACGTGGCTGGGAATGCTGTGCACAACTAATGCGTTTGGATCATTGGCTGGACCGCCGATCGCGGGTGTCTTGCTACAAGCTACTGGTGGTTACCTGGGCGTGCAGTTGTTATCGGGACTCGGCATGGTGGTAATGACGATATTTATGTTGGTTTTAAGAGTTACACTTGTCGGCAAGCAGCAGTCGTGGAAGGTATAAGCAACGTAAAGCTCACAGGTGTAAAGTCAGACTCCCTTTTCCAGTTGAGGAAGCAAAATGAGGCTATGACGGTTTTCTCGAAAGGTTGAACGTAACGCCTCCGAATAAAGAAGTTTAATAACAATAATGTATACACTACAACGATGACAACATAAACCATAGCACATACTCGTAAATTGAAGCCATGACAACTTCAACGAGTTATTGCTCACGGTCCCGTTTAGCAGAGATCAACTCTACTTTAACAAACTACTCATGTGCTGTGTTTACTTGTAGACATTGTAAAGATCAGACTTTTCCCAAATTTCGCGGCGCCTCGGTTGCTGGCCCCTCTGGGGTTACATAAGCCTTAGTCAATCCGCCATCCACAACCATGTCATGTGCGTTTATGAAGCTGCTCTCGTCACTGGCGAGAAAAACAGCTACCTACGCTTGCTCGATGGCCTCGCCGAAGCAACCGGTAGGAAAGTACACCTCTCTCGTCGCCTAAGGAGTCCTGAGGTATAGGAGGACTGTGGCTGACGTATTGGTGGTAGCCGTCCGGATTTATTCGTACGAAAGAGAGGGGTTGAAAAACATACTTTAATGACGCTGGGCAAATAGTGTCGAAGCGGTAACCTGCGACTTGTCAGTAGACTAGCGAGATTCATCGATATCTCCGACTTTTTGTAAGAGTCGCTCTATAAAAAGATTGTTTTTCTCACCTTCTCTAGCATGAATAATTGCTAGCTCCCGAGTTGGGGCCATGACCGTACCCTTACTTACGGTATACGCTAACTATAGCGTGGCCGATCCGACGATGGCGATCATACTGGCATTGTTAATAACGCTATCCTTTGTCTTACCGTATTTCCAAAGGGACCTCACCGTATATTTGCTTCCGTACTAGACGCCCTTGATGCTAATATCAAACGTTTTGTCCCAGATTTCGGAGGGGCACTCGTGCGCGTCGACGTCATAAGGGTACATAGTGCCAGCGTTGTTGAAGATGACGTCGAGGCCGCCCCAGCGGCCTAAGTGATTAACGGCTTGTTCGACTTCGGACTTATTCGAGACGTCTATGACGCAAGTCACAAGACGTCCGCAAGAGTTTGCTAAGACGTCTCTAACTCATTTAAGCGCCTTGTCGAGGATTTCCTGATTAAGATCCGTCATTATGATAGAGGCACCCTTTTCCAGCATGAGAATTGAAGCCTCTAGCCCAATACCACGATAAATATCATATGAGTACGTTCAGCGTTGAAGAAGATACAATCTGCTCCCTTCGAGATGACGATAGAACAGGCTTGCCCAGCGGCACCGGTGATAATAATATTCCTCCCTTTTAGTCTTTCGGGCATATTGGCTGTTCGGAGGATATCGTGAGAGAACGGATTGCTTACAGTTTCTAGAGCCTGAAGAAGGTAAAAAAGGGTTGTTGGCCTCAATGTATAGGGGAGCCAGAATACTTCCAATGCCTTGTGGAGTTTGGCTTGAGATAAATAAGCTGAAATGCCGTCATAACCCATGTGATCTCGTGGAGTTTGGAGACTGTTTGCCGCTTTCAATATCTATGGGCCGCTGGTATTGAGTGACCCGATAAATCTGCGCTTATCTGGTCGGACCTGGCTCTGCCAAATAAGCCCGCGAATAGCGATTACCGAGGCGGCGCTTTTGCCGTCGAGGGGGGCCGCAGTCATCTTGATGGACATGGGGACTGCCTCCAGAGTCTCAATCTCCCCACTCCTAGATACTTCTTTATGAAAACAAGCCTATAAAGAGAACTAAACTAGATTATTAATTGGATCAACGACGGAGCTGTGAGCCCTTTGTTCTGGATCTCTATATTGAACCATTAACCCTATTCTATCATTTTGTAAAGTCATATCATGTTTAATAATAGCATTACGATAGATAAAGAAAAAAGAATATCTGAGATAGGAAAAATGATGAAAAAAAATAGACAAATACACCTCTTGGTGTTGACTGACGGTCTGACTGTGTGATGGTGCCATCATGATTGGGCCTGGAGACGGTATGGATGTTTTGAGATTTTGCCGCCGCACCGACGCCTATATTAGAGTGAAATAGTTCTCATCTACTGTGTTATTGATAATAAACCCCATCAGCCGCTCCATCCTGGCAGGCCTCCTGTACCGATTTTCGACTGACAGCGCATACGGCATACTTAGATCATGCACGTTCAGGGTGGTCGTCCTCAACAACCATGATGACCTTCTGAGTACTCCCCCAGCACTTGTTTCAAGAATCGATACGCGCTCCAGTAGCTTAGTCGCACTATAAGAAGTAAACAGCCATTCATTCATCGTCGTTAGTGAGCGGTCACTTACGCAGTAGACGTACTGTAGGGGAGGTTTGTCAGTAATAGAGTCCATTTACGGAGAAGGGAAGTGGGAACTTACACCTCCAGAGCACAGCTGAGAGGTATCCTCCTGGTCACGAATGCTCTGCGGGCTGAAGCATAATCCTCGGAATGTAGGGAATGCTGATGTTTGTTTCGTGGAGCACTTTGGCAATAGTTAGAAATAGGTTGCTAGGCAGAACGGCTGCCACTCACGCAGTAGGAGTTTGCTCCTTTTCCCTAGACACACACATCTGTCAGTGGTTGTGTTTGGTTGCACGTTAGCTTCAGATACTCACGTCACAGGTGTTTCCACTTGCGAGACCTTGTCCACCGTTACAGTACATCTGCGAAGCACTTGCGGCCAAAGCCTGGGCAAGCAGCGCGGTAAAAAGAGAAGCCTTCATGATTATCAATTGAGAAAGAATATGCTGTTAAAATGAGTTGAGCTGCCGATGAAGATCATGTTGCAGTGTGAGAGTTTTAATACTAGAAACTAGACTAAGGATGACATTGGAGAGAACTCCATAATTAGATCTGCCCTGAAACTGTGCAATTTGACACGGATTGACTTTGGAACCTTGATAAAGTAAGATGTATTAAAAGGCTGACAACAGACCAGCTGCAGAGTCATGTGCAGTGACCTTCAATCTACTTAAAGCCGGGACTCGGGCGGGTATCTGAGCCTTCCGTCGGCTTGGGGCCAACGGCTGTCTGTGCTGATCGCCTGACACCAGCCTGGGTGGGTCGTTTAGCTCTCTTCAGCGAGTCATCAGCCTATCTAGCCAAGGAGAACGATATGGAGGGTTACTAAGTGAGTTGCAGGGGACACAAGATTGGGGCAGGAAATGAATACTAAACCGACCGGTCGGATGACAAGTCAAGCCGAATGAACACGACTCAGTACTAAAGAATATGTCATCAACGACAAAGGGCCAACATTAGCTACTTCTGTAAATACCAGAGTATCAGAGATCCTCCAGCCTGAAGAATTGATTCGGTGTACCAGTTCGACAAAGAAAACAACGCCACGGCAAGTTTGCGGGCTTGCTGATTGCTTGAGGTTTCATCCCGTTTCCACACCCTGAAAGTTGGAATAATACGTGGAGCTCTCGAACATGGTCACGGGACGGCAGGTCCTGATTTAAACAGAGCATCACTATGATTTCAGGATTGGGGGGCAGGTCGCTGTGCCCCGGGAATGACAACACATCCCCCTTCGGGTGCGTCGACGGCAGTACATAGTACGTACTTAACTTCATGAGAAAGAACAAGTAGTGAATTATATGACAGTCCGCGGACTATCCTTCATCCGTCCTCCTGTGAGCTGAAATTTCAACAGAGTTGGACTAAAACTGGAGAAATATGTACTGATGTCGACTCGCACCCGATGAGATGCAGGCTTCGACAAGACTTCAGGGCGGTGAACGCTATGCGGAGTCACTGTGTCAGTAAGTAGGCTAGCTCTCTGGCTGTTTAAATAAGCCAGTCTTGTAGAACCCTTGCGGCATCTGGGCCGTTGTAAGTTCTGTTTCCGCCTGGTGGCATGACTGATGATGCGCCGAAATGGACTGATCCGAAGTCGAGCCAGGAACCACACTTGACAATATCACACCAGAGCCGCGCGCATGTGCTGGTATCTTGCTATCCTCAGCCGTGGTTGTAATGTCTCGGGGTGGACACGTGAGTTCCGAACCCTGATCTGCTATCGGTAGTCAACGGCGCGGCGCCGACAAAGGCACGTTGGAGATGAACAGTACGGCCGAGCGGTGCTGATGAAGAGACAGGTTCCTTTTCGTCAACGTAGGCAACCTTTGCCAAGCCCTGCCACGTAGAATCTCAAGCAAACGAAATTCACAGCTGTCGGTCGTTCATCACGTGGCAAATGCTCCACGGTCCCGAATCGACGATTCCTCATCCCTCTCTATCGCGTTCGTTTCCTATGTCCTGGAGCAACACCGAAGTCTGACGCATGTTCCCTAGCCGAACGGCAGAGAACGTATGCTCGAGCCGCTTGCAAAGAAAACTCCGCTGTCCCTCATCCACCACGCAAGAACCTACTACGGCGATCGGCTAGTACAGGCTTGTGTTGACTTGGACGTTCGGGGGCAGCTGTGCGAGGCTCGCGAGGGCTTCAGATAAGGCCGCCTGGGCCGTTGCCACTGATAGATCGTCATCATCGCGATGACGGTCGCCATCGTCTTGTGAGTGAGGGTAGAGCGTTGTATACAGGTACAACAGCACTGCTTTTTGATACATGTAGCCGGCGAGAACAACAATCTCAGAAGTGACTGCTAGACTCGGTGCCCAGGTCTCTATCTGTCTTTGGACCTGAGAAAAGACGAAAAAGTCGTTCGCCGAGGGTCACCAACTCGGGTCTTCTGTATGAGACAGCAAGCGGCGGCCGAGTTCGAAAATTGATGGTATGAGGAGAAGTAGGTCTAGCCAACAACCACACAGACTTCCGACATAGGATGCCGCTACTGAATCTTTCGCCAGCGGTACCAGGTCACTACTGAGGAACAGCTTACGCGCGCGTCAATGGAGATCATGCTCAACGTGAATAAGCGCGCCGAAGCTCTGGGTGTCGTGGGGCGAGAAACGAAACAGAGATGGGAGGCTGGCCTCGATGAAGCATAGAATCAGTGCACCGATGCCCATCGTGAGCTTTTGCTCGAGCGGCTGCCCGCCAATGAAGCTCGAGAGGCTTCGCTGGAATAGACGACTCGACCGGCCGTAGTACTGGTCCGCGACCCGGTCTCCACTGCTCAGACACTTGGACGCCCTGTGAACGGCACTCTGCGTCAGGAGCAGATGCAGCACAAGGTTGCTGGTAAAGGCTCATGGGATCAACTGCACGCAAAAGGGGTTATCCGGCGTCGACCCGTTGGCCATGGTGACCGTCGGCACGCCTAGGTAATGGTTCAGCAAGTCCATCGAGCCGCTGTCAGTGATCCCGGGCAAGAAGGACAGCCGCCTCGGGACCTCAACCCCGGGGCTTATATAAGATAGTATCAACATTTGTTTGGGCTGAAGTCTCCCTTGCGAAGATGATAAGCCTACCAAGACGTGCACATACGCGCGCGGCTCTGACGTGTGAGATTCTCGAGCGAGGTTTCGTGGTTTTTCTCGGATCTGGCCCCTCCTCCACCGGAAGTAGACCGGCCCCATTTTTGCCTGGTACCAACTACCAAGCGGAATAACGGAGGGGTGTTTTCGGGAATACGGAGATACGGGAATATCTTCTTCACATTCCACCTTGGGCCCTTCGGCGTTAAAAGTGATTGACTCGTACATGAATGGAGATTCTTCCCGATTCTTCACGATAACTGGCATTTTGTTGTCACCATTGTGATACCAAATTGATAGTCTTGGCTGCAGAGAGCGAAAGATACCTCGACTCGACGCACACCAGGAGCAAATGACACCAGAAGAGTTGGGAGAACTTTCGACGAACAGCAGAATGGCAAGGGTTCGTCTGAATGATCAGCAGTTCCCGCCGGGGAGATAATTATCTTCCAAACATTCCCTTGAATGAATGTCAACCCGGTCCTCACGTCCTCTAGGCTCCAGCATTCAACCAGCGCTGCTTTATCTCAACCCAACTTGAACGCGCTGCCGAATACGGCCACTCGAGAGCGCCAACAGTGGCTGGAACCCGCGGACTTGTCAACTTGTCTGTCAGACTAGGCTTGACTCGGGCCCCAAGCTCCCTGCAAAGTTCGACGCTGTCGATGCCCACCACAATGGGGTGGGATGGCGGCGTCCATCCCGAGCGCGCGGGGGAGAATGTAAGCCAGTGCGCCACGCGCCACGCGCCACGCGCTTTGCTAAGCTCTTGCGCCTTTGGCACTAGACCAGCCCAGCCCGCACTTCAACCTCTCAGCCCTGCGTCTGCTAAGCACTCACGGCACGTTTAGCATTGTTGGAGTTGAGCTTTTCCGCGAAAAGGGTTCCGAAAGGGGCAAGGCGAAGGCTTTCCCGCCCGCTGGTCCAGCTTACTTGTTTAGCTCTTGACAAAGAGGCTCGTGACCAGAAGCTGGATCGGGGGGAAGAAAGGTTGGGGGCTTGCACGAATAGGTAGTCGAGAGTTCTAGAGCTTTGCGTGTCCCGCGGCCCCGGGGGCGGATTCGCCGATGGGCGGAACGGGCTGTGTTGTCAAGTGTCTTGGTGTTCACCTTTGGCTGCCTTCGAGGAGGTTTTCTGACAGTCTGAACTTGAGCACTGGTTTTGCAGATTTACTCGAAGGAAAGGTCACAGTCATCAACTTGAAGATCTTGAAGTCGCTGACAATTCATCGACGAGGTACTCCCGTACGGATACACCGATGGAGACGTCATGGTCCCGTCCCGTTGGGAAGTTTAGAGATCAGATTAGATTCCGAGTCTCTCCCGCTGGGGCGTCATACCCGAAAAGGGTAAAAATATCCTCTCTCTAGGGGTCCCATAGAACAGGCTGTCACCGACGCACTGCGCACTGACTGGTTTGATGGACGACACAGTTCAGTTGCTGGAATGCCGACTCGTGTGCCGCGTGATGAGCCAAGGATGTGTGTGCTTAACTGGGAACTTGGTCTTGGTGAGCCCAAAAAGCCCAGTCAGCAAGTTAGCAACCACCACACGGAAGCAATTTTCAAGCAAGGGACGAAAAGAAAAGATCCATCCATGATCCAAAGGACCCATATCCGGTACACCCTACCCTGGACCGGACCCTCTTACTAGAACTCGCCAATCCCACGTGTAAGTCCGAAACAGACGGCTCCAAGGCAAGTCTTTAGGTCCCCTTGTCCCGCTGGCCTGCCTGGTTCGGGGATCTTTGATTCAATTTCTTAGTCCCGTATGTCTAGTCCGGGAATGGCGAATTTTCCAAATTGTAAATGGGTCCTGCCCGGTTCGGAGGGGTGTTCCCGCCTTCGCGCGTTGGCGTCAACCTGATGGGGTAGATCGTTTTCTATTACTTCAACTCGAGCATCGCCCGTCGTTGTTGGCTCGGGTTGAGAGTCACCTGTTTTTTTTTTTTTTTAATGTCAGGGTAGCAACATCCGAGGTTGAAGGCACATACTCCAGTTCACGATGGCTTCTCCGTCGGCATCTGAGAAGCAGCAACAGCATGTCCGCAAGAGCATAGACTCATCATCGGGCGACCGAACCGCCGCTGCGACACCGGACGTCAACATGCTCCGGGACGACAAGCACATCCCCGACGACTCGAGTCTATCACACAGCCGATCGAGCAGAGACGACTCCAGCGACGACAATGGCAACGACCTCGCGCCGCAGCAATCCAATGCTTCTTCAGTATGGGCCGTTGACAGCATGTCATTCCCCCGCGAAGCCATGTTCGTAATCATTTGCTGCATGGCCCAGTTCTGCACTCGTGAGTTTGCTGCCCCCCCTCCTCTTATCCCCAAGCTCCATCTCACAACACCACACCGTTCCGGAGGCATGAGTAAAAACATGAAAACATGAGACTGACCACTTTTAACAGAGGCCGCCTACATGGAAACCCTCGTCCTCCTCCACGTCATCGGCGGCTCCTTCCACGTAGACAACCCAGCCCGCCTAGCCTGGCTCGTCGCCGGCTACTCCCTCACCGTCGGTACCTTCATCCTCTTCTCGGGCCGCCTCGGCGACGCCTTCGGCTACAAGCGCATGCTCATCATCGGCTTCGCCTGGTTCTCCGTCTGGTCCCTCATCGCCGGCCTCAGCGTCTACTCAAACTTCACCCTCGCCGTCTTCTCCCGCGTCCTCCAGGGCATCGGCCCGGCCATCTGCCTCCCCAACGCCCTCGCCCTCTTCGGCGCCGCCTACCCGCCAGGCCACCGCAAGGCCATGGTCTTTTCCTTCTTCGGCGCCGTTGCGCCCATGGGCGGCGTCGTCGGCGCCGCCATCGCCTCGACGCTCGAGCTCGAGTGGTGGCCCTGGGCGCTGTGGGCCCTCTCCATCTGGCTCGCGATCCTAGCCGTCGCGGGGTACTTCATCATCCCCGAGCCGCACCACGCCAAGCTCGATCGCCCCCCGAGGACGCTGAGCGACATGTTTGTCGAGCTCGATATCCCCGGCGCCGTCACGGGCATCGTGGCGCTGGTCCTCTTCAACTTTGCCTGGAATCAGGCGCCCATTGACGGCTGGAAGACGCCCGAGGTCCTCGTCCCGCTCATCCTCGGCCTCGTCCTCTTTGGCGTTTTCACCGCCATCGAGTTCAAGTACGCCGAGAAGCCCCTGTTGCCCTTTGACGCCGTCAACGCCGACGTCGCCTTTGTCCTCGCGGCCGTCGTCTGCGGCTGGGCGACCTTTGGCGTCTGGACGCTCTACCTCGTGCAGATCCTCCAGGAGATCCGCACGCTCTCGCCCCTGCTCACGTGCGCGTGGTTCTCGCCCGTCGTGGTGACGGGTGGCCTCGCGGCCGTCATCACGGGCAAGCTGCTCGGCCCGCTCAAGGTGCGCCCGCCCGTCGTCATGACGATGGCGCTCGTCGCCTTCACAGTCGGCGTCATCCTCACGGCCACGGCGCCCGAGAACCAAATCTACTGGGCGCAGATCTTTGTCTCCATGATCATCATGCCCTTTGGCATGGACATGAGCTTCCCCGCCGCGACGCTGATCCTGTCGAACGCCGTCAAGAAGGAGCATCAGGGCATCGGGGCGAGTCTGGTCAACACGGTGGTCAACTACGGCATCGCGCTCGGCGTCGGGTTCGCCGGCACGGTCGAGGTGCATGTCAGCAAGGGCACGGGGACCAAGGAGGAGCAGTTCAAGGGATTCCGGGGCGCGTTGTACATGGGTGTCGGGCTCGCTGGGTTGGGACTGTGCGTTGCGTTGACGTTTTTGGCGAGAGAGTGGCGGCATCGGAAGGGCGGTTCAGGGAACGAGGAGAAGGCTGCCGAGGCGCAGACGGGGAACTCATGATGAGACTTTTCATAGAATAGATGAGGTAGCTGCTCGGCGCAGCCATAGAATAGATATTGATAGACAACAAAGTTTTGTTCACAAACGGGGTGTGAGACCAGCCATCATGTGTGAATCGATTTCACGTTATTTTATGGCCATTTCTATCATGATTACTTGTAGTAGCGGGATACCTTAGAGTCAGTTCACAGAAAATTACATAGCAGAAATGCCTGACACATATTTCAAGTCACCTGTAAAACAGAAGTTCACAAAAAAAGGGCGGAGTGATGAGTAACCGCCTTCGATCCACGGAGGAATAAGAGAAAGAATGCATCCCATTTTTTTGGTATCCAGTTGATGCTCGCTGCCAACCAAACAAGATGCTCCTGTCCTAAAACGCCATGCTGTTGAAGTCTAGCAAATCCTTACATCTCCACCACCTTCATCCCCTGCTCCCCCCTTCTTCCACTTTGAGGCGTCCTCATAAGAAGCCGAACCTCATTTCCCAGTCCGGCTCCGAAGCGTCTTCAACCCCGTCTTATGCTCCGTATGGTTCTTACTCAACTGGACCTGTCTAACAAACAAGCTCAGAACAAGCCCCAGCCCGGCAAACGCAACATAGACGATATACATCGTCCTCAGAGAACTCAGATACGCCCCGCGCGCAATCTGCCCTTGCTCCCCCTGCAAATCTGCCACCACGCCCACACTGGACGCAGCGCTCGAACCAGAGAGCATATTCGCCAGCTCGGGACCAAGTTCCTCCCTCAGCCGCGGGTACTGCCTCTGCATCTCATTATTAAACACCACGCCGCCGATCACAACAGAAATAGACGTGCCCATTTGCCGAATGAACCCAAACGCCGACGTCGCCGCCGCGATATCACGCGGCTCCACCGACGTCTGCACCGCAATCAGCGGGCTCTGGAAGTTGGGCCCGATACCGAGCCCCGCGACGATCTGGTAGATGATAATCTTTGTGAAGTTCCGGTCGAGCGGGAGGTCGTGAAACAGCCCGAAGCCGACGGTCGTGACGAGCATGCCGCCGACGATGAGGTAGACGTAGTTGCCCGTCTTGCGGATCAGCACGCCCGCGACGGCGGAGTTGAGGGATAGGGAGAGGACGTAGGGGAGGAGGTAGACGCCAGATAGGAGGGAGGAGACGCCCTGCACGCCCTGGAAGTAAAGCGGAAGCCAGTAGCTGCCCGAGATGAAGGCGAAGGCGTGGCAGAATGCCGTGGCAAAGGCCGCCATGTTGGACCAGCTGCGGAAGAGGTGCATCGGGATAACGGGGTACCGCGCGTACTTCCATTCGTTGACCGCAAAGATGCCAATCGTGACAATCCCAAACACAATAAGACAAATAACAGTAGGCGAGCTCCAGGGGTACGAGACGCCGCCAAATTCGAGGCCAAACAGGAACATCAACGTGCCGCCGATGATGGTGAGCGTGCCGACCCAATCGATCGCTTTCAAGCCCTGCGCGACGGGCGTCCGCGGGTTGTGCAGCTTGAGGACGAAGAAGAGGACGACGAAGCCGACGCCCGAGATGGGCAGGTTGACGTAGAAGCACCAGCGCCAGGTAGCCTTGCTCGTGAAGACGCCGCCCAGGACGGGCCCGATGGCGCTCGAGACGGCCCAGACCATGCCCATGACGCCAAAGTAGACGCCGCGCTGGCGCATGGAGAAGAGGTCGCTTACGCAGATGTTGACGAGGACGATGATGCCACCGCCGCCTATGCCCTGGATCGCGCGGGCGCCGATCAGCATGCTGTTTGTGGTGTTAACATCAGGTCCCTCCATACATACTTCTTTCGATTGTGTTAGAACTTACCCCATGCTCGTAGACAACCCACAGATCAACGACCCAACCCAAAACACACCCACAGCGCAAAGCAGAATCGGCTTCCGGCCCCAGATATCAGAAATCTTGCCCCACGTCGGCACAAACGCCGCATTGCTGAGGAGGTACGCCGAGCCGATCCAGATATAGCCAATGTTGCTCTTAAACTCTTCCGCAATAGTCGGCACGGCAGTCGTGATGATGGTGACATCCAGCGCCGCCAGGAACAGCGCCGCGCATAGCGAGAGCACGATGAGCGTCGTCTCGAGCTTTGTGCGGCCGGCCTCGGGCGTGTCTTCGGCGCCGGCCGCCGGTGGTGGTCCCTGCGCTGCGGCTGTCTGCGTTTCGGACGCCTCTTTTGTGTCGCCGGGTGCCGTCACATGGTCTGTTGCCATTGTGGCAGTAGCGTTGTGGGAGAGGTCTTCCGCCTTGATGTCTTTGGTGGTTGTCGCGTCGGGGTTGCTGCGGATGGTTACCGAGTCGCTGCTGGTGGTGGGCGATCCATCTTCGGTTTGGGAGCCGGCGGCGCGTTCAATGTCGCCGACTTTTTCGTCGTCGTGGACCTCGTGGAGGTCTTTTGCTGTCATCTGTGCTTGGCTCTCTGCTGGTCGATTGTTTTCTGGTGCTATTGGAATGTTGTATGAGTGCTGTGTGCCTGTCTCAGGAGCTCAATCTGTTCTCGTGATCCTGAGCGAGGGACCGATAATTCATAGGGAGGAAGTGGTGAGTTCAGAGGTAGCTGAGCTGGACCTTTCAACGGGAGTATAGAATCGAGATCACCAGCTTCGCGCAAAGAGAGACACGATGAGGTGGTGATAGATACAACGCGCTGAGTGAGGCTTGGTTGGGTATTGTCCAGTGAATGACGATGTTCAGCTAGTAAGAAGAAACCCGTCGCAATAGCCAGCCCGGTCAAAGTTGTCACAAAGGAGAATCAAAAAGTCACGTAGGTAAAGAAAAAGAAGGGAAAATTGACGAGCGAAAGGCGCAACAAATTTCCATTACGAATACAAAGTCGATGACAAGCACCTCCACATGCGCTCCAACCCTGGTCCCATGGCGAAGAAATCGGGTAAGAAAAGTGGACGTAAAGGGACTGGTCTCGAAGCAGCTAAGAGCAAGGGGTGTGGGATCTAAAGCGTCCAAAGGCTGGGGTAAGTGAAAATCGTATGTAATGGGTAGTGGTATGGGGTGGGAAGAAGCGAGAGCGACGAGGGGGAGAGAGAGAGAGAGAGAGAGAGAGAATGTCGAGTCGTTGCCGCGTTGCCGAATCGGCAAAAGTTTTTGGCCTCGATTGACAATGACTAAAGTACTAAAAAGAGACTTGGTTGATTGGAAACGGGCCTCACTGGGGCAAATGCGACATCGGATTTAATCAGCACACGACCTCGGCGCGAGAGTCGGTGAGAGTGTTGTTAGTACACACTTGATAGCTCATGCTAAAAGTACGAATACTTGTCTTTTCCAACCTATCCATCCGAGGTCTCTATCCGTATACCTAGAGTACCTTATTCGCCGGAGCAGTTCGTCCTGGTTCATATGACTCTGCCCGATTGGTTTACAGCTATGACAAGTCCCCAAAAGAGTTGGTGTTCTGATTATCCACCATCCATAAGCCAGAGCCGAACTACCTGACTAGGAAGCTAAAGACTGCTAAACTGCTCATTCATCCTACTTATCCCACCTGAACCGTGCCGTCACCGCGAGGCAGTTGCTAGTACGGAATACTACACGGATAGACGCATCCATTGGAATCGAGTGGAGGCTTGGTAATCAGCCTTCAACATAAACTCATAATTGTTCACGTGTTATAGTCGCCATCCTTGCTACATCTGCAACGGCGATGTCTACGACCCTGCGACTTGACCTACATGGAAAGACAAAGACGCCCAGATCGCAGACAGCGGACGCTTCTGCGACGGGATCGATAGAATGCCGGGGTCCTCCCTTCCCCCACTTCGGCTGTTCCCCCCGCAATGGAAGGCTTATCCTTGGTTGTCGGAATGCTTGTCATCATCACTGGGTCGTTGCGATCGAATTCATCTTTCTGTGTAGTAATTCGTTTTACTGGCTGCTTTTCTGCTGAGTATCTACTTAGAGTACCGCTACAAGATAATAGTTTTTAACCAACATACTAATAGGATTACATGGATAACTATCGTACAGCATACGGCTTGAGGACAATACTAGAATATATATCGTCCAGGCTATCTTGTGAACGACGCAAACACCCAGTTTCTACAGCGGCACAGCTCGTCTCTCGGAGCAAATGGACAAAGCGTCAGTTCCAGTCGATACTCAATATACTCATGTTGCGAAATATGGAATCTAATTCTGAGTGCATCACTGAGCCGTGTTCAATAACTTTTAATCAGTAAAGGTAACACAATGTCGCGAGACCAACAACCGTCAAGAGTGGAGTTCCAAAGCCTCCCTTGAACCATCACTCATCTCAAGTGGGAACTCACTTCCACAAAAAAGCTTCACCACTCACAAACCGCCAACCTAATTTCAGCCTCACCACCACCAAAACTCACAAACAATGCTTCTTTCAACGTCGTAATGACCAGTTAACTCGCCATTCCATCCCCCTGTCTCACCAACATCTCACACTCATGAGGCTCTTCCTCCGCCCAATAGTCTCATCGCTCACAAAACACACCTTCACCAACCCTCCCCGCTCATCCAGACTCATAACCACAATGTCCTCCTCCCCATCACCAACACAACCCCCCTCATCACGAACTTACACCGACGCAATCAACCTCCTAAACACACTCATCCCAAACCTCAAAATCCACGCCCTCTTCAACAAACCAAAAGATGCCGCTCCCACTCCCACCTCATCCTCCTCCTCCTCAGCCTCAAAACCAGACCCGGCAGCAACAGACCCAAACCTCCTCGCCATCCCCGAAATGCGCGCCTGGCTCCTCCGCGCAAACCTCACCCCTCAACGCCTCTCCTCCCTCTCCTTCATCCACATCGCAGGCACAAAAGGAAAAGGCTCCGTAACAGCCCTCACGACCTCAGCCCTCCTCCACCACTCATCTTTCTCTGCACAATTCGGCCCCATAGGAACCTACACCTCCCCGCACCTCCTCTCCCCCCGCGAACGCATCGCCATCTCAGGCCACCCCATCTCCCAATCCCTCTTCGCGACATCCTTCTTCGAGCTCTGGGACACCCTCTCCGCCTGCACCACCTCCAGCCCCGGCGGCGCCGCCAGCACAACCGGCCCCGACCTCGGCATCCAACCCGGCGCCAAACCCTTCTACTTCCGCTTCCTCACCCTCCTCGCCCTCCACATCTTTCTCAAACACTCGGTCCGCACCGTGGTCCTAGAATGCGGCATCGGTGGGGAATACGACGCCACAAACGCCATCCCCGGGGATGCGGTAACAACCTCTGTGATTACGCAGTTGGGCATAGACCACGTCGCCATGTTGGGATCTACAGCTTCGCAGATTGCGTGGCATAAAGCAGGTGTAATGAAACCCGGCACCGCAACCTTCACCCGTAAACTCTCAGAGGAAGGACACCCAGGTGTAATGGCCACACTCCGCTCCCGCGCGCGAGAGATAGGCGCAGAGCTGATGGAAGTATCCGACGAGGATGTCGAACGCTGGACAGGTGTCCCGGGGGCAAAGTTACCCGGTGGAGACTTTCAAAAGAGGAACCAGGCTCTCGCTGCGCTTGCTGCGAGGCGACATATCCAGGTCCTCCAAGCTCGAGAGGCGGGGTCAAAGACGGTAGAAATCAATGCTTCGCTGGCTGATGTACCGGAAGTCATCATCGCTGGCCTGCGCGAGGCGACGCTCCGTGGTAGACATGAAGTTTTACAGCAGGGCAAGGTATCGTGGTATCTTGACGGCGCGCATAATGCGGATAGTCTGGCGGAGGTGGCGCGTTGGATATCGCCCATCATCACCTCTACAGACCTCTCAGACGCAGGCCAGGATAGCTTCGTCCTGGTCTTCAACCAACAAGAGCGCGACGCCTCCGCTCTCCTGAGAGATATGCTCCGCCAGATGGAGACGCTAGGCGTAGGCCTCGAATCGAGACTGGCCGCTGCAATCTTCACTAGGAACGACAAGACCAATATCGCAGGCGAGGGAGGGGACGTGGATTTGACTGTTCAGGAGACGTGTGCCGCGGCGTTTAGGGAGGCGTATCCTGCCACCAAAGTCATGGTGTGTAGGGACCTGACGGAGATGAAGAGCGCCGTCGACGGCGTCGTGGAGCAGTCTTCGGGGACAAAGGTGCTGGTTACGGGGAGCATGTATCTCGTTGGAAACGTCATCGGCTTGTTGGAGCCGGAAGGTCTATTGTGACCACTTATACCTACTAGGTAAGAATAGAAAAAAAGAATCTAGAGTTGAATCCGTGAGGACTTATCTGTCCGCCCCCTGTATAAGACCGTTGTTAAACCTCATTCTACCCCGTATATCCCATAGGACCAGACCCCATAAGCTCAGGGTCAAACGCAAACGCAATATAAATACTCCGTACCCTCCATAAACATCTACAACGCATCTGCGCCCTCCAAGATCCCCAGCGCGCCGCCAACAAGATGTAAGCTCCCCGTGACAAGAGCCTGCACGCTTTCGCCTTCGGGCAGACCCTCACCGACGCTCCGGACATGGTTCAACGCTTCTTCGATAGTCGGTATCACGCGCACGTCGGCGTGGGGATCCAGCTTGGACCAGCGCTCTGCAAACTGCCTCTGCACCGTCATGGCCTCGATGGCTTTGGCGTCGTACTGGTGGTTGACGAAGTCTATGATCCATCCGTCAGCTCTCTCTCTCTCTCTCTCTCTCTCTCATCCAAATCCCCTCCGGCATCCCAAAGACGTGTCTGAAGAGAAAAAAAGGGGGGGAGCTTACCTCGCTTATACCCAGTCTGGGCATAAGTAACATTTGTACAAAACACCACACTCTCAAACGCCCGCCCATTCTCCCTCGTAATAGCCTCATACATGCCATCCAAGAAGTCAATCGCCTCCGTCCGACCCTGCTGATTAAACACCAACGCCCTCGGCCCCTTCTTCCCTCTGCTGCTACTCTCATCCACATACCACCTCGCCGCCATCCGCAAACTATCCGTCGTATGCGCCCCGTCAACATACCACATAACACCGGCCTCCGCCTCCTCGTCCTTGACTTCACACCGCCCCCTCCAAACAACCCCCTCCAACCCCTCCACAAACGCCCTCGGCAACCTCTCCGGATCCCTCTTGAATCCATCATCAACCCTCTCCAGCGCAGTCTCAGCAAGCCTCACAGCCAAACTCGCATTCCTCTTCTGGAAAACCGCATCAGGCCGAATCTTGACCCCCTCAAGCCTCTTGTCCACCCCAACAACCTCCATCTCGACCCCCTTCTCCCTAGCCCTCTCCTCCAACACACCCGCCGCCCCAGCAACCTGCTCAACCGTAAACCCCTTACTCCCCTTCTTCATAATCCCCCCCTTATGCCACGCAATCTTCTCCACCGTATCCCCCAGCGCAAAAACATGATCGATCCCCAACGTCGTAATCCCCGTCGCCACAGGTCTACCAACAAGATTCGTAGCATCATACTCCCCTCCAATCCCCGTCTCCAATATCGCAACATCACACCCCTCGCTCAAAAAAGCATGAAAGCTCACAAGCGTCAAATACCGCGAATAAATCGGCCTCGTCCCCACCGCAACCTCCTCCTCCAGCACTTTATTCCCCTCCCCCAACCTCTCCCATACCTCGAAAAAGTACCTCGCAAACAGCTCCTCCGAGATGGGCACCCCGTTAATCCGTATCCTCTCCCGCACCGCAATCAAATGCGGCGAAATCAACAGCCCGACTTTCCGCGGTACCCCGCGCGGCGACGCGGCGCGGTGCCGCGCGAGGATGGAGTCTGTGAAAGCGCAGGTGCTTCCCTTGCCCTTTGTCCCCGCGACGTGAATCACGTTGAGGCTGTCGAGGTCGGCGACGGAATAGCCCACGCGCGCGAGGTACGTTCGCATTTCGGCGACGGAGGCTTCATCTGGTCGGATGCCTGCTTTGCGGCGGGCTTCGATTATGGCAAAGGGGGTTTGGAGGGTGTTGAGCGCGTCGACGGCGTCCTGTGCGTCGGAGCTTTTGTTAGCGATGCTTTCGTTCTGCAGTGTCTTTGTTTCTCCGTTGCGCCATTGTCAATTGCGTAGCGTTGTAGTCCCGAGGTTGAAGTTGCGAGAGACATTGCCATCTCCGACCTCGGAGACAGCAGACAGCAGACAGCTTGTCAAGCTGCACAGTGGATGAGACAAGACTTACATTATACGTCCTCCCGGCGGTAGCCATCATTCGTCGTCCCAGAAAGCTTGAAAGTAGAAAACTCCTGCTGCTGCTGTTGCTGTTGCGCGTGAGGCGTATTACGTGGCGGGATGCATGATGCATCAAGGACGTCGGGGAGCTCCCTTTTATTTTGGAGGTAGTTTGCAGCGGGGCTTGAAATGGAGGGGTCGTTGGAGCTCTCCCCTTGATCTTTGGGCACTTTGGGAAGGTAGAAATTCGGGGTTGGCAGCTGTTGTCTCTGCACTGCTGCACCCGGGTTTCGGTGGGGGGTTTGTTTCTGGTTATATGCGGCTTCCAGGTTGAGGTGCGCTTCGGCACTCGAGCCGGGAGACGGGTCCGGGGACCCTGCGCTCGGCGCTCGTCCCGCCTCCTACTTTGCGTCTATCCTGTATTAAGTTGAACGGGGCGGCCACCGGCTTGTGACAATTGCGTTGCTGAACTTCTCAAACTCAATTCGTCTTCTTCTTTACCTGACCCAATTCTGTTACAATATCCTCTTTCCAAATTGAATGATGGGCCTAAATCAAAATGAGGACTGCACTCTACAGCTTAGCACGGGATCTGGACACATGATATGGAACATCACACGAACAAGTAGACTTAATAGAATACACTGCCTTCATTCAAGTCTATGGGCTATGTCTTACACAGACCAGAGGTCTAGGCCATCTTGCTCCCTTTCTCTCTCTCTCTCTTCTCTAAATAGTTCCCCCCGTGGGAGCACCTTCATACTAGAACAAAAGAAAAAAAGTTGTTTCCCGTCCATTATTCTACCTTGAGACTCTGCAGGCGCGCTTCTGTCGCAATGACCTAATCAAATATGTTAGCTTATATTCTCACTTCACGCACAATCAGGGACAATACTCACATCAAGAGCCTGCTGGACCTCAAGAACCTTCCTCACCTCACCGAGCCAGTCTCTGCTCAGCGTCTTCGCCCAGCCCTGCAGACCGTTCATCTCACGGGCCGCAGCGTCCAGGTTACCCTCCTCCAATAGCGTCTGCGTACGAGTAAGGATGCTCTCGACGTCGTCGCCGCCGACCAGACCCTGCTTCTTGAACATGACCTTGCTGAGGAGGTAGCTCGACGCGTGGCTGGCGACGCCGGCCTCCTCGGGAAGAAGAGACGCCTTGCGCACCTCGTTGGCGACTATCCTGAAGCGATCAATAAGCTGTGCCGCGTTGGAAAGACCGCGCTGGTAGGCCGACGGGTTAATCGAGGCAATGGCCGCGTTAACAACGGGGTCCTCGGCCGCAATCTCCTTGAGCGCCACGAGCTCGCGCGTAAAGGGTTTGGGCGTCGTCGCGTTCTCGAGGCTGGCGCGGACGGCGTCCACGGCGACGTGGAGCTGCTGCGTGCGGAGGTTGGTGTCGACAACCTCGTTCCAGCCCGTCGTCAGCTTCTCGAGGTCCTGGACGGCCGCCGAAAGATTGTTGAGCTTGCCGAGGCGGCCCTCGCGCTCGGCCTCGACGTGGCCCTGCACCTCGGCGACGAACTCCTTCTTCAGGGCGAGCGCCTGCTCCAGCAGCTGGTTGTTGAGACGCTCCTCATTGAGCTGCTTCTCGCGCTCCAGCAGGAGCTTGACGCGCTCGTCGTAGGCTCCCTTGACCTTCTTCATCTCGTCCTCGAAATCCTTCTTCCACTGGGTCTCTTGGGCGACCATGGCGGACTCGACACGGGCAATCAGGTCGTTGGCGGCCTTGTCAAAGTCTGCGACCTTGGCCTCGACTTCGGAAGCAGCCTTCGCCTCGACCGAAGACTTGATGGCCTTGATCTTGCCTCCAACCTTGCTCAATTCGCTCTTAGCCTTGGTAATGGTGGGAGAGTAGCGACCATGGGCCTTGTCGGCGTTGATGACGGTGATGATGTCGTTGAGCATGCGAACAAGATCCTGGACGACGGGCTCGGTGGCATCCTCAATCTTCAGGGCGTCGATCGGGGCAATGGGAGGGAATCGCGAAGGCTCGTTAACCTCGGGGGCCTTGAATCCGTTGGAGTCCTCCTTGGGCGCAGTAGCAGGCTTGGTCTCCTTGACGGGCTCAGGCGCGGCCTTGGGAGCCTCTGGCGCAGGCTTGGCCTTCTCAACCGGCTTGCTCACCTCCTCCTTGATGGCGACGACCTTGGCAGCGGCCTTGTCAACAGCGCTCGACTGACGACCAGCGGGCTCGCCGTTATCGGCTACTCTCCATGACGCGCCGCTCTGGGCGGGGATCTTGACCTGGCTGCCCGTATCTCTTCCCTTGAGCTTGTTCGAGAGGTTGGGGAATCGCTTGCGGAAGTCTGCCTCCTCAAAGTAGAGGACGGCCTGCTCGCCAAAGGGGACATATTCGGTGAAGAAGTCGTGGAAGTTATCGTTGACGCGCGAGTACCAGACACCGCCTCCGAAGCCAACGGCACCGAGGATGGCGAGGGTCAAGACGAGGTTCCTCAATCGGCGGAAGAAGCCCTTCTTCTTGGGCGCGGCGGCGGCGGGCGTCTCGGGCGGAGGAGGAGCGGCAGCGGCAGCGGCAGCCTCTAGGTTGGGAATGACGACCGCGGGATCGGGAGTCGGGGGTGTGAGAGGGACTTCTTGCTTGGGGATGGTCGGCTCGACGGCTCCAATCTCGGGGATGGCGCTCTTGTCTGCGGTGATGGTCTCTGATGCCGGCAGGACGGCAGGTTTGGAAGGGTCGACCTTCTTGTCGTCGGCGAAATGCCTCCTCTGGCGGGCGGCAGCGACCTGCCATTGGCGGCCAACAACGGCCGCCGCAGGCCTGTGGCCGAGCACCCTCACGGATCGAATCGACGTTCGCAACATGAGGGGATGCAATGGACCGACAAGGCGTAATTGGGGGTGAATGATGTCGGGGGGGAGATGTGGTGGGCGATAATCCGTACCTTGAAGCGACGGGAATCCAGGCACAAAAAAGCTCAAGGAAAAGTTCGGCTAAAACTGGGTGAGCTTCCAGCCGCGCCGTGCTGGTCCGCTGCGAGCGCCGAGCGGCAGGAACCGGGATCTCAGCCAGGGCCACCTGCCTGTCCGTAGAGCTCACGTCACTCGGCGGCAACACCTGTCACTTTTTGACACGCGGCTTTCATATTCGCATCTCAGTCAACCTGAGATATCTCGCATTTCGCTTGTAGTGATTATATAGGTCCCTGTGGCTTTGCATGATTTCTGCCAATCGAGTCTCAGAATCCTGGCGAACCAATGAAGAAATTTATAGAAGCTACGTCACAGCTTTATTTCCTCGGTGGCTGCGTTTGGAAATCTTCATAGGCACACAGTCCATGTGCAGTGCATCACCAAGCCCAAAGTGAAACGATAAGAAATTGTATACGGCCCCATCCTTGAGAAAACAGTTGCCTCTATCGCATACTGTACATCAGAAAAATGCTGCAGGATGCTTCCCCTAGTAAAGTGAATCCGTTCCCGTACACCGTCTTATCCCAGGACTGTCCCTACACCCGAGTTGCCGCAACCGAATGACCAGCTCAATGAAGACTCGAAATGTAAATTCACACACACGCAACTCTCCCCACCTTCTCCCCTTGGAATTCCTTCCTTTCAAAAAAAAACATACTGTTGATATTAAAAAAGCTGGGTCTGGCATACCCATTCTTCGGTGTAGGATTTGCGACAACGCTCTTCTTCAGCCCAAACCCATCCAGCCAAAACGCCGTCGTGTACGTGCTTGCATCTGGTGCGGTGCCTGACTGATGGGTGCCCTCGCGCAGTCTGCCAACGGGAGACTGCCTCGCCTCTGACGTGATGCCAATCTTTCGCCGATTTCCTTGGGTTCGTTTGATATATATGATGATTGTGGTGTGTGAGTCCGTTCTCACTTAGCAGCTGCAAGGCCCGCTGACGTTGCTGCCAGGAGTCTCGGGTTGGAGGCTGACGCCCTGTCGCTGGCCTGGTCGGGCGTGCCTAGGGCCGGCCTGGTCAAGCGGCAGCTTCTTGGCGATAGCAGTGAAGAGGTCCTTGACGTTCTCGGCCGTTTTGGCTGATGTCTCGAAGAAGAGGAGTCCGGCCTCGCGGGCGTAAGCCTCGGCGTCGGCCGTGGGCACCGCTCTCTTATCGGGCTGCTCGGTGACCAAATCCAGCTTATTGCCGGCAAGGGCGATGATGATGTTCTCGTTGGCTTGTCTCTGCAATTCCTTTACCCACGCCTTTGCCTTGTCCAGGGATGCCTTGCTACCGTTAGCATTCTGGTAAAACGTGCCAAAGTTGGCTTTCAACCTACAGATTGGGTAATATCGTAAACTACTACGGCGCAGTTTGCGTTGCGGTAGTACATGGGTGCAAGGGACTTGTATCGCTCCTGTCCGGCCGTATCCCAAATCTCGAACTTGACTGTGGTGTTCTCGTCGAGGGAAATGGTCTGGGTCAAGAAGGCGGCGCCGATGGTCGATTCGCGGTAGGAGTCGAACTGGTCCTGTAGTTGCACACGGTTAATGGACTGGTGTGATGATGAGGCCGGGCAAGTTGTGCATCGGGAACTTACCTTGACGAAACGCAACACGATGGAGCTCTGAACAGCAGGTTAGCACTGGGGGATGGGATTTCCATGAAGATCCGAACAACGAAATACCTTTCCAACAGCGGACTCGCCTATGTACCATCGAAAACGTTAGCTATTGTTATGGTAGACCACTTGGGCGGCAAGAAGCATTACATACCTAGCAAGACGAGCTTGAACTGCGCAAA